GTCTCCTTCGGTGACCTCCCATTGCGACAGTTCCTGACATAGCGATCATTATCGGCTGGGCGTTGCTGCAATCAGTACATGTATTGCAATCAGAAAGCAAGATCCACCAATTCAACAAGGATATGTAGAGAAAATATGCAACCTTTGCTGGTGAGCTGGACAGCATAGATAATATGCTGATACAGATAGAACTGACAGTCATCGCTGGGGACCATGAGTCATACAATATATCTGTAGGTAAGTGAAGGAATCAATAGTTACTAGAATGGCTCTTTCATGGCAAAAAAATTGAATAGAGATGTCAGCTATCAGGGATTATTAGTCTTACATCCAACAACAAAAGCACAGTAAATGTTATAAGTTCCATCTTCTACAGTACCCAGGATAAAAAAAGAATTCTAGCACAGAAGACATTTTTCAATTGTGCCATGCTAGCTAATTCAAATAATGTAAGCTAGAAAAGGTAGATCACATTGGTAATTCAAGTTCATGAGGTAAAAGTAATTAAAGACTGAAAAAAGAGGCACAAACACATGAAATGGATGCAGGTGTATACAAAATATATACTTGCTCTAGAAAAATAACCTCAACAGGCCAATGATATATACCAATGGTCATGGAATCATGATTAATACTCATATTTCTAGAAATTTCGTGGCATAGCCAGTGGACCAAGCTGGAAAACAAGACAACAGTGTAACAAAAACTCTCTATAACAGGTGCAGCGTTCCAACAAGCTTATGCTGTTCATGATGTAAAGCCCAGATAGTATATTATTGGACTTTAATAGAATCGTTTTGTACTTGAAAGTTCTAATCGAGATTTCTAGAAGTGTTACTTGCATGGAAACCTCCACTGATGTTAGCATATATTGTCTTGACTAAGCATCATTTTAGTACACCATTATTATTGTCAATCAAGATTGGATTACACGTGACAGCTTACATAGAAGAAAACAATGGACATGAATTGCGAAGATAACCTATAATATAACTCTAGCTTAGTCCCATTCCTAATCTTAACTATATAACTCTAGCTTAGTCAAATTCCTAATCTTAACTAACAGGTCAGTATAACTCCACAGATGAAGGGCCATTCGAAACTAGGTAAAACAGTAACATCACAAAATGGTCCAGGTGGTTAGCAAGGGGGAAAAATCAATGGGTGCAGCATAATGCATACCAATCACTGGTACTGATCAAGGCATCATGCCAAGGGCAATGTACTTTAGCATGCCGCATATGTCATATGTGAGAATACTGTCAAGGTGTTCCACTAACATCATGAAACAGACAGCTTACGAAAAGAGAGGCCATTTAGTCGAAAGGACGGACTCATAATTTCCCCTAAGTGTGCCAAATTTTTTACAAAATGGTAGATATGAAAGGGCTGGTTTGAACGTCAGTCGTGACCAAGTTCGCTAGAGATCAGAGAAGACATCAATGATGACCACACCATGGAACGAAACTGCATCCTAGTGCTGGTGAACTTAAAATACAAGAGTTGTTCAAAAAAAATGTCAACAGGAAATAGAAATTAACGATCATACCTAAACAGATGTGTCCGTTGCTGTAAATGTGTGGATGCATCGGTGCTGGATGCAGAAATATAACCTGAAACAAAGGAAAACAATATTAAAAAAGGCACTAAAACCCAATGCACACGTAATAATCAATCGGGACTGAAGATATTGACCTGAGGTGCCTCCATGGGATAATGCTCGGGAAAATCCACCTGCAGCTTGTAGGTCTCGCCGGTGTAGAGCGTGCCTGGTGCCCCGGCTACATCGATGACCCACCTTTTTTGTTGTTTCATCCACCATCATTTTTCCATTCATTAAGTTTTTCTTTCGTCCAGGATCACAAAAACACTAGAAAAATTCTACTGAAACCCCCTTGGAGAAGAAGACGAGAGAAATAGTAAAGAAACCAACATCTACACGCCCAAAACGCACGCAACACGCCGTGTCTCAGGTCAATCAGGACGCGGAACGTGCTCCGCAGTTTCAGCGGGACTAACCTAGACTCACGAACAAGAAAACAGTAGCCAAGCACCGAGCCACCCACGGAGAAAGGAATCTAAGAGACACGGCACCGCAGGGATTGCTGGTGACTGGTGAGAAGGGGGGATAGGAAGGGCGGCGATGGGGGAGGGGCACCTCTGGAGGTTGTCGGTGACCCTGTGCTTGAAGCCGGCGGGCGGGTTGACCTGCCACTCCGCGAGCTCCTTCTGCAGGCGGCTGCACGCGATCTTGCTCAGGGCCTGCACGCACGCACCCACACAAACGGGGAACACAGGAAGATCAGTCAAATCGATCGGCGACCTCGCACGAGGCTGGATCGGATGTGGGCGATCGGGAGAGGGTCTAGGGTTTGTTACCTTCAGGGACGGGGACGAGGAGGAGGAGGACGGGCTCGCCATGCCGCGCCGGGGTTGCTGCGGAGGCGGAAGAGGGGGAGAGGAGAGGAAAGGTATCTGAGCGCCGTGCGCGCGTGTGCGGGCGGCGCGGCAGGGGCAGAGAGGCAGAGGCAGAGGCAGCGGCCGCTGTGTTGTATTGGTTGGTGCCTCGGTGGTGGGACTCCAGCTCTCTACAAAGTCTACGTACTCCCTAACCCCTACTCCTATTGCCCAAACTGTGGTTTGTAAAAATCTCGTTACGGGTACGTGCAGGTCAAACTTTTTCAATTTTAATTAGATTAGTAAAAAATACGTGTAATATTTATATCTTTAAATAATTTTTATTATGAAAGTATATTCAACGATCTATCTAATGATACTAATTATGTATTATAAATATTATTTTATATAATTAGTCAAAGTTAAAAAAAACTGACTTCTCGGGAAGTGAGAACAACTTCTATTTTGGGACTGAGGGAGTATGAGATGTGTAAGTGTCGCTATGGTATTTATACTGGTCAAATTTTCTTAAACTTAACTAAATTTATATAATATATTATATTTGTAACTTCAAATAAGTTTATTATGAAAACAAATTCGATGGTCTATCTAATAATACTAATTATGCACAATAAATATTAATATGTTATCATATATATTTTGTTAAAGTTAAATATATTTGACTTCTCGATAAATTAGAACGATGGTTACAAAGAGACACATGGAGTAGTTTGGGTTTACTCCCAAGTCTCAAGTTCCATAGGCAGCAAAAATGTAAATTCAGTTTAGACCTAGGGTGAAAGCTACGAGGGTAAATTGTGTTCTGTCGCACTCGTGCCGATTTTTACATTAATCCGCTCGAGTTCATATTTGTGGATATTGTGGCCATTTTTGATAATTTTGCTTTTGAAATGTGCTTTTTCCATTGTTTCCGTCTTTACTTATTTTGGGGTATATCCCATTTTTTTTATATGTATGTGGTATTATGTTTTGGGAGTTCAATAATACAGCTTAGCGCACCACATCATCCTACTGTGCCAAATCTTGGTGAACTACTGTAGGGGTGCAAGCCCCTCTAGTTTCCTCGAAAAAAATCTTGGTGAACTAGTGGTTGACTTGTTGTGTCGTGGACGGTGTTGCCTTATATTTTTCTACTATTGTTATTTGTATGGATCCAATACAATTAGAATAGCTTATGTTCTGGCAGTGTTGCCATATTTTTTGAGGTCAACGCCAGAGGGGGGGGGGAGTAAGGCCTCCCCGCCTGAATTTTTATTCCACGGATGCCAGGCTAACCGGGGTAGATCATAGAGGCGGAGGGGGGGGGGGGGTCGAGGGCTAGATTACATGTTTAACATTGAGCTCCAATGTTCTACTAGCACGATGTTCTTTGGTGGGAGCAGCAGCTCCAAATTCTGACTGCTTCTTGGCAAGCAGCCAGCAGACGGCGTTGGTCAGGGGCCAAACCGTGGAACATGACGTCGTGTATGTGCTTCCAGAGCTCCCAACAGCAGTGGGCCTATTCGGCTGGTATTAAAGCCGGCTGAAGCTGTTTTGTTGTGAGAGAAAAACACTATAGATTCTAGCTGATTAGCCGGCTGATAAGTTCAAGCGAACATGCTCAGAGAAGGATCAGGGTGCTAGCCGCCGATGGTGGGATGTGGGGTGGCGGGGTAGATTTCCATAGTTCCGATGTACGTGCGGTCGAGTTTGGTTGCCACCCTATTTGCCTCCAAAAGGACTTGGCAAATCGGCAGCCCGCAATGATGTGGTCGCCAGTTTCTTCCGCCTCGCCGCAGATGTCACAGATGGCGTCTAGCAGGATGTGCTTGCACCTTAGGTTGGTCTTGCACTGGTCTTGGTGAGGAGCCATCCGAAGAACTTGACATGGGGCGGGGCGAAATTGCGCCATATGAAGTCGGTGTTGCCATATCGGGTTGGTTGTGTCAGCATATTAAGAACCTGTTTGGTTATACGCCACACTCTACCATGATTCAGTTGGAGCGAGCTGTGGTGCCGTTGGAGCTGTGGCGGAGAAATCGAATGCCACAATCTGTGGCAGAAAATGAGTCTGAAGCTTTCGTGGCAGCCTAAACTTTCACATCAACCAAACATCAGCATGGGAAACTGTGAAGAGCCACAACGTTGGCGTGGCGAGGTGGCTGAAATCCAAACTCATAGAAAGTCATATCTTAATTCTATGCATCGATGTTCTTGTTTTCCATTTTTTATCCTAATTATATTTATCGATATGTTTATATTTAGGTTGGATCGATTTTGATGTCCTATAAATCCCATGTTTGTTCTAACTAGCAACATTTTTTATTTGGTTTTTATTTTCATAATAAAATGTAAAAGTAAAAAACAAGAGAGAATTTTTCCATGCCGATCCTATTCATTTTCCATAGTCATAAACCATGCATCACAAAATGTCAGGATTGAAACATTCGACTAGTAGGATTTTAGCATATCTCCGGCTTTAACTCTAGCAAAAGCTTCTACAAAGGAGCAAAAGAACTGTAGAGGAGCCAGAGATGTAAAAAGTGGAAATGAGTCCTTAGTGTTAGACCAAATCGAAAGCTCTCACTTTCAACTGATGACCGATGAGGCTAAGATCCACCCTAGAGGCACCACTTGGGCTCAGGGTTCTCTTGACCATGGTCCGAGTGATAGTAGAAAGGACTCTTCGTGTTGCCAAGAGAACTACTAGCCAGGGTATTAGAGTCAAAGACGACGCCCTGGACGGGCAAAACGACAACTATCTAAATACGTATTGCCTCTAATGAGTACTGGTATTCTCGCAGTGCACATGAAGCTTCAGAACGAAGGGACATGCATTCCTCATTTTGTTTAGACCCAGGGGCGGATCCAAGGCCCGGGTTGCCTGGGCTGTAGCCCGGGGCGTGGCCCATTAAGTCTAGGAACAAGTTTCACAAAAAACACAAAAAAAGCCTTGGCAGCCCAATAGCCCCCCCTGGCATGAATGCAGCCCAACTAGTATTCTAGTTAGCCCTGGCCGCACGGCAAAGCACGCAGCGCAGCGACCCTTGGTCTGTAGAGTCATGTGTCTAGAGGATGTTAATTGATAATTATTATTTCTTAATTCATATCCAATGTGTTTTAGGATGGAAAGATATTATGCTAAGAAAGATGCATCAAATAGTAATACAGGAAATAAAGAGACAGAGAGTCGGCTTGAACAGAAAAGACCGAGGATTGAACTTGATTTGAGAGATATAGTTGATGATCCAGGCAATAGAAAGCCAATTGATGAGTTTCATCATGACATTAGGGATGAGGCTAGGAGAGCGTATCTACAGAAAGGTCCATATAGGCCAACTGGTCATAAGTTTTCAAAAACAAAAGTCAATGGTAAAGGTCAAGCAAGAGGATTTGTTGGATCATGGTTTGATCAATTTGATTGGTTAGAGTACAGTGTAGTCAAGGATGCAGCCTATTGCTTTTATTGCTATTTCTTTAAGCCACAACAAATTGGGTTTCACAGTAATGATATATTCACTAGAGTTGGGTTCAGAAATTGGAAGAATGCAAAGGATTCTTTCAAGGAGCATGCTCAATCAGTTGATGGCTTTCACAGTAATGCAATGAAGCATGCACTTGACTTCAAAAATCAGAGACAAAGTGTTGAACATGTGTGGACTGTGACAAGCGCAGCAGAAGAGGAGGCATATAAAGCTCGTTTAACTATTATGTTAGGCATTGCTAGATTTCTCCTTTTACAAGCTCTAGCCTTTCGTGGACATGATGAGTCTAAAACATCAAAAAACAAAGGGAACTTTCGGGAGATGCTTGAATGGTACAGAAAGAAGGATCCGAAGGCTGCACTTGTGACGGGTGAAAATGCTCCAGCCAATAATCAAATGAGTTGCCCAATAGTTCAGAAAGATTTGGTTAGGGCTTGCGCAGAGGAGACAAGTGAGTTAATTAAAAATGAAATTGGAGATCGTTGCTTTGCGGTGCTTGTTGATGAGGCTCGTGATGCATCTATTAAGGAACAAATGAGTTGCCCAATTGATTTTATTTTTTCTTTCCAATAAATATATTTTTTCTTTTCTCTTGTAGGTTTGTCAATGATAAAGGAAATGTCATTGAGAGGTTTCTTGGCATTGAACATGTTTCTGGCACCACATCATATTCACTAAAGGAAGCATTGGATACTATGCTTAGGAGGTATGGTCTATCTATTTCCAAGATTAGAGGACAAGGATATGATGGAGCTTCAAACATGAGAGGACAGTTTCATGGATTACAAAGGCTGGTATTAAATGAAAACCCATTTGCCAAGTGTTGTACTTCAACATTTGATTTCTTCAATTATGTCACTTCAATTGTCAATACTGTTAGTGTTTCTTGCAAAAGAAAAGATCAACTCCTCCAAAATCACCATGACCATCTTGTTCAGCAATTAGATAGTGGTGATATTTTTCCTGGGAGAGGGAAAAACCAAGAAACTAGTCTTGCTAGGCCTGGTGATACACGGTGGGGAACACATCACAAAACATTGGCACGTCTTATGCTCATGTGGGGTTCTGTACTTGAGGTGTTAGAGAATGTTAGTGAAGATGGAACTGATGGGGAAAAGAAAACTATTGCATCTGGATTAATAACAAAAATGGAGTCATTTGAATTTGTGTTCATATTACATCTTATGATTAGAGTATTGGGGTTGACTCAAGAAATATCACAATGTTTGCAAAGGAAAAATCAGAACATTGTTCGGGCAATAGGATTGATTGGTTCTGTGATGAGAAATATGAATGCCATGAGGGAAAATGGTTGGGATGATCTTTTTGAAGAGGTCAAAAGCTTTTGTGTCCAAAAGAAGATAGACATTCCTAATATGGAAGATATGATACCAGTTAGAGGTCGTTCCAAATTCCGTGGTGCCAAATTAGTGACACACTACCATCATTTTTCATCATGGAATTTTCATTGCTGTGATTGATCAGATTCTTTGTGAGTTAAACAATCGGTTTCCAGAAAGATCAACTCAACTCTTGAGATGTGTTGCTTGTCTTGATCCGAATGGTTCTTTTGCTAACTTTGAGATAGAGCAATTAGTTGAGCTTGCTAAGATCTATAAAGATGACTTCAGTGATTATGATTGTGAAAAGCTAAGGGGTGACCTCCTGGTATTTATTGATGATGTCAAACATGATAGAGATTTTGGCACATGTACTGATCTTGGTAACCTTGCTGAGAAGATGGTTCAAAGTGATAGACATACACATTTCCCTTTGGTGTATCGTCTCATTGAACTTGCATTGATTTTGCCGGTGGCAACAACAACAGTTGAAAGAGCATTCTCCGCTATGAATATTATCAAGACCGAACGGAGGAATAAAATGAATGATGAATGGATGAATAATAGCATGATATGCTATATTGAGCGGGATTTGTTTGCATCAGTTGAAGATGATAAAATTTTGAAGCGCTTTCAAGGTTTCAAAAACCGAAAGATAAATTTGCCACGCGAGCACCCGAGGTGCGTATTGTTTTAGTAAATTTCATTTTATAATGCTATCTTGATATATGAAGAAGTATGATATTTTAAAAATTATGTAGCATTGAGCGTGGTGGTTCAAGTGGTGTGAATTCGTGAAGACGGAAGACATCAGGCATGGATTTTTTTTATTATGGAAGGCTCTTTGTATTTGGTACTTTTCTATTCTCGTCATGGTTCTATGTATCTTTGAGCACTTTGAATTGATATCAATATTTGCTATATCTATTAGTCTACTGTGTACAGTGAGCAATTTTTTTTGCCCTCTATTATTTAGCCCCCCTTGGTCCATTTCTAGATCCACCACTGTTTAGACCGTCTCTGACAAGAAACTCATATGGGCATCCAAATCCAAAATAAGTAGCAAGAGACTCAAAATTAGCCTTCAATAGAGTACCTATACGGGAGACCTATTTTGGGTTGACAGAGACTGTCTCCAATATGGAACTCATATGGGCACCCAAACCCAAAATGGGTAGCAAGAGACCTAAAATCAGCCTCCAACAAAGTATCTATATAGGAGACCTATTTTGGGTTGCTTGAGAGGCACAACCCAAATATGGGAATCCTCTCTCCTGAAAACCCATTTGTAGAAATGATTATCTCTTGTGTCTTGTTGTTGGAGAAGATGCTGAATATGTATTAAACCTTTTGCCTGTAGTGCTTCCCAAAGGACGAATAAGTCTTGTATTTTGGGTGTTGTTGTTGGAGATAGCCTGAGAGGCACAACCCAAATATGAGCATCCTCTCTCCTAAAAACTCATTTATAGAAATAATTCTCTTTTGGGTCTGGTTGTTATAGAATATGCCAAATATGTATTAAACCTTTTGCCTGTAGCTCTACCCAAAGAACGAATATGTCTTGTATTTTGAGTATTGTTGTTGGAGATAGCCTTACATGTTGATCGGCTATGTCTGTACAACAAGTGTAACACCTCTGGTGTTTTGACCTAGCATTAAACTTGACATGTCATCATATGCATTGCAAAGCATTCATAAAGTAGAAAATTTTGAATGCATTCACTAAATAAGCTTTATTTCATAGTTGTTATTTTATGTGATGTAATGTGATTCAAAACTCTAAATGAAAACCATGACCACAAGGTTCAAATTTCATGTGATCATGTGAGACCATGTGTCATTTGACTCAAATAACCCTAATGGGCCATGTAATTGGTCAAAAATCATAATTAAGTAAAAAGGGAAACAAATCAAATTGAATTCAAATTCCAATTATAAAAGTCCTTTTTGCCCCTTTTGTCTATTACAAAATCTATTGGGAATTTGGGGGTGTGACAAAAAGCAAAGATGAAGCTTATTTTATAAGGATCAACTTTGGTATTCAAAGTTTTTAAAGTATACATATAAAATTTGGAGTAATTTTGAAATGATTCAAATGCTCAAATACACCCCAAATTCAAATTTCAAAATGGAGGCAGAATTTGAAAATATTCCTTGAAGCAAAGTTGTAGAGTTTGAAAAGTTGAGCAACTTTCATTTTTGGAGATTTTCAACTTCTTTAGAAAAATTGTGAGTAATTTGCAAAATAAACTCAGTGGCAATTCTGTAATTCTTCTGAACAGTAGCACGACCACCGCCCCACCGCCGGCGTCATTTCTCCGGTCTTCCAAACGCGCCCGTGATCGCCCTCGGCTTCGCGCTAGCACAGGATGCTCACTGCGTGTCGTTCCCTCGCTCTCTTGGTCGCGCTATAAAGCTCCGACGCCGTCGTCTGCTTTCCTTTCTCTCCTTTGTTTCTCGACGCCGCCGTCTCAACTCCGTCGAGCTCCCCTCGCCTTCTCAACGCAAGCCAGTCTCGGCAAAGCAGTGTTCTAGCTCCGTCTCCTCCTTGCGAACCCATCCCACCAACTGTGGTTGTCTGAGTCCACCGAGAACAGCCGCTAGCGACCCTTCTTTCTCACGACCGACGACCTCACCCGAAGCTCCGTTTCACCGTGGCCAGCGTCATCCGGTGAGCCGTTGTCCTTGCTTATTGTCTCTACAGCTTCGTCTCGATGCTGTGGTGCTTAATCCATTCTTGCTTGGTCGTTTACCCACTGCAGTCGCCGGAACTCCGTCGCCGACGAAGTCTGCTCCGCCGTGACCGCTGTCACCGTTGACCCGCGTTACCGTAGCTTCTCCGGTCTCGTTCTTTGCTTCAACACGTTCGGGGTGAGCTGCTGATCCTTTCTAAGCCTTTTGTTTGATCTCTACCGGCCTTGTTTCGCCGGCATAGCGCTGCCGTGCCACCGCGTCCGCCATGGCCGGTGTAGTGCTCGATTCTGGCCGCGTAGGGTCTCGGTTGTGCCACCAATCATTGCGCCTTGTTGTAGTGATCACCGTGATGCCTTTGCCTTCGCCGTTAGACTCACCGTCGGCGAGTTACCGCCGGTCAGCGCCGTCGTCGTCGTGGTCAAAGCCGAAGGTTAGGGATGACAAGTGGGTCCCGTATGTCAGCGACTGTGTAGTTCAAATGGAATTTTTTCTATTTTCAGAAATAGATGAATAGTGTCTGTTTTTGTTATTTTTGTGTAGATTTATTTAGAGCTCCAAATATTATGAAAATTTTTGTGTGACCTCTCTGTGATGAATATTATTTAGGAAAAATATGAAACTTGAAATTTGAGTAAATTTTTAATGTTCAAAAATTCAGTTAATTAATTGATAAATGCAATTTCCATAAATTTTGTAGGCCACTGTATAGCTCCAAAAATTATGAAATTTAATTTGGTACACTAATTTGTCATGAGGAATCTTACATAAAATTTTGAGGTCATTTGGAACAAGTTCATTTTGAGCTTAATTCCCAATTAATTCAAAAATGAATAAAAGCAAACCCTAAGTGTTGGGTTATGGTTTGATCTTGTTTTGGTTATGTTTTGTGACCAGTAGGGTTTCAAGATCAATTTGGTCAAGTCACTTAGGTCATAATCCCTAGATCATTAAAGTTTGGTTAGAGTATAGTTAATGAATGATTTCATTCATTAAGGCTAGAACTTTGGAGTGAAACTTTGGGTAGTTCTTTAAAAGAATGTAGGGTTTCTTAGTAAACATTTTTGTGTAATCCTTGATGGTAGAATTACAAGTTGGTTTTGTTGGCTTGCGACTGTACCGTGAAGGAAAGTTGTACTCAAGGTATTATTACGTTTCATGCACCATGAAAGCATCATGTTTACATTATCATCATGTTGAAGCATATGTTATTATTTCATGTAGAATCCGAGAGTGAATCGATCCTAGTTGAGCAAGTTGTGGAAGAATCCCCAATTGTCTTGGGATTCGATATTTGTGGTACTGATCCAGAACCCGAGATCATCAATGAAGGCAAGCCCCGGTTTATGCATTAAACCATTACCTTATTTTCTTTGAAAAGTTTATCACCTATGTTACTTATTGCATTAAGTTGATTAATTCAAATGTTACCTACTTGATGCATTGCCTACCTTGTTAATTGTTTACCATCCTTGAAGATGATTTCATTTACAAAGGCGTAGAATCGCTTAGTATGCTTTATGGTAGGCTTTCAAAGTAAAAGTTTCGATACAATCAAAGATGGCATACTGGCCAAAGAAAGAAAGAAGATAGAATGAACTAGAGACTAGTCGGGTGACTTATCTTGAATGTTGGGTAATGTTGCCGACTATGTCGCTTAAAGGCCACTCATTGTGGATCTTCTAAACGAGACATTTTATAGTACTGGTCACATACTTCGGTAAGCCTACTTCGCCTAATCCGATATTAAGACGAATGCCCACGCACTGGGAGTGAAGAGATGGCGGGAGTAGCGTGTACCCTCGTGGCTGGAATGTGGCCGGATTTTAGGTGTGTTGTGCTCTCGAGTGGCGTGGAGACGGCTTAGTATAGGAGGATCCGGTAGCGAGGTTGATATATGCAAGATTAAGTTCTACATATGTCGTGTGATAAGGAATCCCCAGCTGGGACTTGAATCAATTCGAATTGCCGGTGCTTCGTGAATATGGAGACTCGTTTCATTACAGAAGCAATGCAGGACTAGTGAAACCTATTTTTCCTAGGAAGTACATGACATAAGAAGATTAACAAACTTGAAATCATATTTTTCTGAAGCCTATATATTTTTCTACATATTTTTCAAGTTATCAGCGATATTCATGATTAAATAAAATTCTACAGCAAAGTATCTCTAAAATGACATGCAATAATTTTCCCAAGTAGATCTGCTGATAAGGAACCTAGCAAAATTTGTTTGAACAAATTTGGAGCAACTTTGAGTACCAAAACATTTTTCAAACCATTTCAAATTTCAAATAATAAAGAATAAATGAAAAACAATTCATTTAAACGATATTAGGCCAGCACCACTATCTGAAATCAGTAACCAACTGGCCCACGTCGTTTTTGCCAACTTTCGGTGACCCAGCGCAAGGAAGGAAGACGGCCCACACTGCTTTGACCTGGAGATG